TAATCTTCATAATTAGTTGACTCGTCAGATGTTAAGTTCTTCAATCCTTAATTCTTTCTCTTGTTTCCTTCTATATATAAATAGTTTAAGTTCTTGAAGTTTAGTTTATATATTATTAGATGTGTCTCCCAATTTGAAAATATTTGAAGTGGAAAGAGTTGCGTCTTGCTTCAGAAAATATTCTTTACATATCAAATCTTGAATCTTCAAAACAACGTTCATGCAATACCTTTGAAATGACAAAAAATGTTAATCACATAAGATATATGAAAGAAATAATAGAAGTTTGGGTTAATCAAGGATCTTACAAATGGCATTTAATGTTACATACAGAACATGTATTAAATAGTTCAATCGAACCAACAGCTCTGCATCAATCACGACAATTTTTGGATGAATTGTTGGTTGATTGCTCTAGAGTTTTCGATGAGTTATTGGTCGATTGCACCATATTAAATATTTGATAGAAGATGAATGGTAACAAAGTTGTTTGTTTGAATGAACCAAAGCAGAAAGGCTCCTATTTATAGTTGAGCTAAAATTAAAATTAAAATTAAAATTGACATTAAAATTCGAACTTAAATTGCATTGCTTATAATCCTACGATTAACAAAATCAATTATCATATTGCTTTCATTTTTCGTAAAACAATAAAAACAACCCTTAACATTTGCACAACATGTACATATTCGTCTCTCATCCTTAACGATGGCTACAACTGAGAGAATTTTGGATATCGTTGTCAAAGTGATTTTTCGATAATTTTCCAATTGTCTTGGTTCTGCATATCATGCATTATAGGGAGATTCACTAACATTTTATATCCTTCTCGAAACTTCTAGTCTAAATGCAACAATCGTATTCCCAATGCATATGTTGCCTCTATTTTACCCATCACAGATACTTCTTTCAAAATCTTACAGCCAAAAGCGAATATTTAAGAAATCCTCAATATTATTCCCAACAACGCATCGTAAAATCTCAGGCAATATTTCATTTGGGAGATCAGCTAAGAAGATATTGGATGATATATTGATATTTGGTTTGGTCTAAAAATGAATGCAAGAGAAGTTTGGAGGTAAGGACCACAAACACAATTATATATATATAAACTCTTATGGCCAACTTATGTCATTTGAAAATATTATTGTATCATTTCTGTTTTGATGTGATAAGTAACTGAAAAGAAAATGACTCGGAAGTCTCATTTCACAAGAAGTGCTTTCACCTTTTTCAAAGAATCTCTATCATGTCGTAGTGACTCTTCCCATCAAACGTATAAGGGGTTGACATGAATAGTTCCCCGACTGGGAACATCATATATGCATATAATTCACTAAAAAATATAGAGAAAAACTGACAAAAGGGAAGATGCATCCCATAAGAAGCATTTTCACCTTTGTTTCGAGAATCTCTGTTATGTCATAATATCTCATCCCATTAGACAGATGAAGGGTTGATGTAAATAGTTCCTCAATTGGTAACGTCATTTTTGCATATAATTGCCATAAAAATCTGAAAAAAAGGGAAAATGCGTCCTACAAGAAGCGCTTTCACCTTTTTCATAGAATCTATGCCATGTCATACTGTCTCATCCCATTAAACAGATGAGGATTTGATGTGAATAGTTCCCCGACTGGTAACATCATATCTGCATATAATTGACAGAAATATATAGATAAAATCTGAAAAAAGGGAAGGTGTGTCCCATAAAAAGTCTTTAACCTTTTTCACAGAATTTATACCTTGTCATACTATCTCATCCCATCAAACAGATGAAGGGTTGACGTGAATAGTTCTCCGATTATCATGTCATATTGTCCCATGTCATACCGTTACTTTAACCATTACTTGTGGAATTGTATTTTCTAATATTTCAATGTATGTGATTTCTTTTCTTTTACAAGATGTGGCTTTTTTTATTTATTTTTTGGGTTTACGGTTTAGCTCATGTTATTAAGATGTGGTATTTAAAAAACCCTAAATCACTTTAACCAAAAAAATCTAAACCACTTTAACCTTAAAATCCTAAACCACTTTAACCTTAAAATCCTAGACCACTTTAACCTTAAAATCCTAAACCACTTTAACCTTAAAATCCTAGACCACTTTAACCTTAAAATCCTAAACCACTTTAACCTAAAAACCCTAAATTATTTTAACCTAAAAAACCTAAAACATTATAACATAAAAACCCTAAACCCTAAACCTATGCCCCAATAAGAAAAAGTGTTTATCTCTTTTATCATCACTTAATCATTGACCATTACTTATGTAATTGTATTTTCTAACATTTCAATGTATATTATTTTTTTCTCTATTCTTTTACAAGATGTGACTTCTATTTTAATTAGTTTAGGATTTAGTTCATGTGAATAAGATTTTAATAAAAAAAAACCTAAACCACTTCAACCTAAAAAATCCTAAACTACTTCAACCTAAAAAAACATAAAAACCCTAAACTACTTTAATTTAAAACCCCTAAACCACATTAACCTAAAAACATAAAACCCTAAACCCTAAACCACTTCATCACTTAACATAAAAAACCCTAACCTAAACCATAAAAAAACCTTAAACCGATTAATGAACTAGTCAAAAAGTGCAAGCCTCGCAACACACCTTCAAAGGTGTCTCCACTGAAATGCGCCTTCCATCATGTGCCACATCGACAAAAATCCATGGAAAGCGCGCTCCCTGAAACGCGTCTTTCCTCCACCTTAGCAAGGCTCATTTCACACAACAGGCCTCCTCCTCAATCTGTTAGAAAGGGTTTTAGTTCGGACAATATTGGAGAAAGGGTGTTAAATAGGAGATTTTTGATTTCTTATATGATTTATGGGTAAAATTGCCCATTTTTTATATTAAACTTCATTTTTTTACATTTTCCTCTAGGTTAACCCTTCAAAAAAAATGAGTGGTGGAACTGTTTTTACAGTAGTGGCGGAACTAAGTTGGAATAAATTGATATTTTAAAAAAAGTTGGGATAAATGGTAACGTGGCCCAATAATTGGGAAAATGATCATTAACTCCTTAAAAATTTTAAAAGTTTTTATTCAGCCCTTTAAATTTTTAAAAGAGTACTTTATTTTTTTAAAAATTATAATAAAATATACCAATATATATTTATAAATTAATTTTTCAATATATAAATTCTATGTATACAATTTAAATTCTCATAAAAATATATAAATATTAATTTCTTTTAAGATATTAATTTCTCTGATAAGTAAAAGTTTTAAAGGTAATAAAAACAATGATAATATATACTTAGTATATACACACACACAAAAAAATTCTTGGTTTTATTTTAATATTATCTTTAATTTTTAATCATGATTTTTTTATTTTCTGATAAGTAAAAGTTTTAAAGGTAATAAAAACAATGATAATATATACTTAGTATATACACACACACAAAAAAATTCTTGGTTTTATTTTAATATTATCTTTAATTTTTAAATCATGGATTTTTTTTATTTTTTATATAATATTTTTAAATACATTGAAAGAAACTAAAATTTGATATTCCTTCTAAAATTTTAAATCGACGAAAACGGAAATTTTCTTAACAATAACACATAATATTTTAAATATTTTTAGTCTCATACTTTATTTTATAAATAATTTATTTAACATTAAGAGTTTTTTCACAAATTAAACGTCAATATCTACTATTATACTTTTATATTTTAATAATTTTTTTAATAAAAAAACACGTTATAAGTTTATATTTATTTTAGAAAATCATATATAAATATATATGATTTAATGTATAAGTTATTATTTAAATTAATTTCAACAATTAATATCTCCAAATAAAATATTTAATTTCAGTACGGTTAAAAACTATCAATATCTTTAAAAACTACCCATTTAAAAAACACTCCTTCCGGGAACTACGGTTATCTTTTAAAAAAAAAAAACAAAAAACTATCCTTACCCTTTCCCAAAAATTAAATTTCATTATCATAAATTTAGTGTAAACTATAAGTTTAGTATCTAAACTATTATTTTATTCTGTTTTGATATTTAAATTTTTTTTTCAAAATAATATTTAATGTTTAGTTTATATTTCCTTTTCATAATAAAAAAATGTTACGTTATTATTTAAAAATATAAAAAATATCACATCATTAATTCTATTAATTTTTTTAATAGTATCAAATTAAAACTTAAACTAAACGTTATACATAATTTTAAAAAATAAATTGAAAGTATTAAAATCAAGTAAAAATAATAATTTAGATACTAAATATAAATTTTACCCAAAATTTTACTAAACTGATTTTTAAAAATAATTTTTAGTTTAACTAATAGAATCCAAATCTGACCATTCCACGGCTCCACCTGCAAATCCGATCACTTTCGTCATCTAAAAAGCAGCCGTCATTTCCATTTTTACCCTCATATTCACCTTTCGGTCAACTTGTTAAATATAAAAGGATTAATACAAAAAACAAGGGCCTAAACCATACTTAAACTAACTTTTCATTTCTAAAGAATTATTTCATTAAAAATTGATGTTTAATATTTTTATTATATTTTTAGATATTTATCGTTAAAAAATTTATTAAGTGACACATATCACTTTATATTTTTTGAAAAATTAAAATAGTATTTTTTTAAAATAATCTAAACGTGACATATATCACTTAATAATTTTTTAACGATAAACATTTAAAAGTGTAACGAAAAAAATATTAAACACTTATTTTTAATAAAAAATTATTCTAGTACCAAAAATCAATTTTTAAATATAATTTAATTACTTATTTTTATGTTAAGCCAATATAAAAACATTAAAAAGAACAAGATAAAATCCCCAAACCGACAAGCTAGACGGTGTCGTTTCAGGCTCTAAAAAAACCTCCTATTTATAACTAACCTCCATCCTCCACCATCGGCTGATCTTCGTTGTTAAGGTTTCTTTTCATCCCTGCATTTTCTTATCGTTGGATTCTTGAATATATAAATACATCAATTTTACTTGGTTTTTTCCCTAAAGGACTCGGAAGAAAAACAGAATTTAGAGAGAGAGAAAAGAGAGATAGGAGAGATGGGGTTCATTGTCGAAGGAGAGGACAGTGGCGACGTCGCTTTGGAGCCGCCTCCCAATTTTTCGATGGTGGAAGAAGGCATTTACAGATCTAGTTTCCCACAACCCTCTCATTTCGCATTCTTAGAAACCCTAAACCTTCGATCCGTCATGTATGCTCTTCTTTCTTTGTATAATGAATGAATTGAATTTCTTAATACCTTCTTTCCCCATTATTTTCTCCTTTTTGCTTGTTTATGTTTCCTGGAAAATTATAACTTTTTTCTTCAATTTAAAACAAATTTTCTTTTTGCCTGCATGGCTGCCAAGAAAAGGAATATTGGGTATAAAAGGCAGGTTATTTTTATTTTTCTGAATTATAATCAAATTGAATTTTGACTGTGTATGCCATTTTTGTGAGTTGGGGATTTACCTTTTTTTATTCCCTTTCATATGAGCAGATTATTTCTTAATGCATTCTTTCCCTGTTATTCTCACCTTTTTGCATGTTTATGTTTCCTGGGAAATTAAAACTTTTTTCTTTAATTTAAAACGAATTTTCTTTTTGCCTGCTTGGTTGCCAAGAAAAGGAAAATTGGGTATAAAAGGCAGGTTGGAAGGATTATATTATTAATTTTTGGCATAGCGTGTTATTTTTGTGAGTTGGGAATTTACCCTTTTTTTTTTAGATGAGCAGATATTTGTGTCCAGAGCCCTATCCAGAGGAAAATTTGGAGTTTCTTCGATCCCATAATATCCGGCTTTTCCAGTTCGGGATTGAGGGGAAAACGGTACATTTTGTTTTTTGCTTACGCTCACTTCTCCGCTTTTTGAAAAGCTTTTCAACAATGCTTGTATTATAAGGGATTTAAATTGCGGTTGTGTTTTCGGATTGCGGCAATAACATGTGCTATTGTGTTCATTTCTGATATCGCAATAACGGTTTTGGATGACACCTTTATCTTAATATCGTTCGCTATTCTGATAGCGACTGCTATTTAAATCCATGATGTATATAACTTTTGAATTAAGTTGTTTGCATCTTTCAATAGATAAAGTTGAATCCATTGCCAGTCTAATACTGCTTCTTTTCCAAAAGAAACTTGTATAATTATCAAAATTTCATGAGATTTTCGGATCAGTTATTGGTCAAGATTTTCGAGTTCAGAGTTGCTCCCCGCAACATATTTAAATCTGGTCAAAATTTATATTTCGTTTAGTTCTTGGACTTTTACTAGGTAATATATCAATTCAGCACCTCCTGGTCAAAAAGAATTTCGTGTAAAATGGATAAATCATAAATGAATCAAGAAAGTCAACTATATGTTATCTAAAAATTGAATACCTTCAAGTGTACATGATTTTTTTTCATAGTTAGCTGTATTTTTTGACTCCTAAAAGCGAATTTCATTTCGGGATGCCATCATTTCAGGAGCCTTCTCTTGCTACACTCAGGGATGCCATCAGAGGAGCTCTCAAGATCTTAATTGGTACTGAATTCATAAACTACGGATTAAGGGCTCACTCTCTTAGTTTTGTAATTTTTTTTACCAGCACGTTTTTAAGCATATGGATATCTAACACGTTTATATAATTTGTTTACAGATGTGAGAAATCATCCTATTTTGATCCATTGCAAACGCGGGAAGGTAATAGTCCAAATTCATCAATTACTTGTACTCCCTTTAGATTATAGCTTTACTTGTGGAACTGAATTTATAAAGGAGTGGTTATTTTTTTATAATATGGTACATTTGTGTGGTAACGCATGGGTTTCCTTTAAAGGTCTGATAATATATATTACTATATATATGTATATATTGATATATGAAGCTTTTGCCATTATTGATATAAGAGTTTTATTTGGACATAGGAACTCATTGGGCATATAGTTTTAAGTGTACTACTTTATTGGGGTTTTTTTTTCTGTGACATCTTAGAGATTGATTTTATTTTTGAATAAAACTGTAGGCCTGTCTTTCTTTTCCTTGATAAAAATAAAATAAATAATGCAGCATCGAACGGGTAGCCTAGTCGGTTGCTTGAGGAAATTGCAGAATTGGTGCTTGGCATCGGTATTTGAGGAGTATCAACGTTTCGCCGGCATCAAATCCAGGAGTGCTGATTTGAGATTTATAGAGACATTTGACATCATATACCTAAGGCAGTGTCTTCACAGCATCATTTATCAGTATCAAGGATATGGTTCAAAAAAGAGGCGGTTGCTTTACGGAGAAGAGAGTGTACAGAAACCTCAAATTACTTCGATTTAAAGAGAGGATTCATCGGCACATCGACAGAAAGGAATTCACATTGGTTTAAGGAAGCATTTTCTTTTCTTTTCTTTTCTTTTCTTTCTTGTCTAAAGTTACCACTTGAAATTAGATTTTGCAATTTGCTCCCCGGAAACCCAACTGTGAAAAAAGTAGTACTGTTTTCTTAGAGTACTTTTTTCCAATTGGGACATTAGGTTCAATCTTATTATACATACATACGAGGAGAAGCATTTGTGCAAATAGGTTGTGTGCATATGGTTATTTCTAGCATAGGATGAAGTTTGCATTTACTGAAATTTTATACCCAAGAAGATCAATGAAGAAATTGCTCTTTCTCTCATTGTCAGTCCCCATCATATGATGTACTTTGCATGAATGATTAGATTTCAATCGGTAGCTATTAATTATATTTGTCTTCTTTTCCCCTTTTCTTTTGTTGATAACGTTTCCAGAATGTTGACAATTTGATTGTAACACAACTGCAAATTAATATTATAAATAAATGAAGCTCTAGTTTGAAAATTTTGGATTGGAGCTATGAGTGGGGCTGAGCAAAATCAATTATTCGAGGAAAAACTAGATTTGACTTAATTATAAGAAAAAAAATTCAATTTTGTTTAAGATAGTTATTTTTGAATAGATATTATTTTGTGTTTAGCCCAAATCAATAATAAAAAATATTGAGTCAAGTTTTTGATATATATATATATATATATATATAAGATATATATATATATATATATATATCATTTAAATTTGAATCAAATAGTACTATAATATTTAAATATTTACAATCAAATTTAAACATAAATTTGAACAACTTAAATTAACTCGACTTAAAATTTTTCAAAAAAAATTTAATTTTATAAAATTGGACTCGTTAACTTGAATAACTTATTTTTTATTAGATTAGATTCAACTCGATCGAATGCATAAGATTATGCTTAGATTGAATTAAGAGTTTAATAATATAGTTTATCAGTACATTAATAGCTTAATTGATAAATTGTATACGATGCATTATAAGCTTAGTTGATAAATGTACGCACTATTAAATAAAGAGAAGTTAATAAATGGATCCTTCTTTCCATGCAGGATGGAGTCATTCCCTTATAATTTACGTCACATAATTTTTTTTATCCATATCATTCCTTCACTACATTCCCGAATTCATCCCCGTATCTATTCTCAACTCTTTCCAAATCAGTTTTAATGTAGAGTAAAATACACAAGTAGTCCTCCGACTATAAGATATTACTTTGTTGAGTCCCTCGATTATTAAAAGTTATAAAATGATCCCCCGACTATATGACTTTGCTTTGTTGAGTCACCTATTATTAAAAGTTACAAAATGATCTCCCGACTATTTATATGTTCAAAACTCGTAATTTTCTATTAAAAATTGATAGTTTGGGTTGGACGTTAATCTGTTAATTGGGATATGATAGTTGTTTGAAATTTTGAGATCAAATTTTATCATATCACAGTCAGTAGGTTAATATCTAGCTCAGGTTGCCGTCAATATTTTAACAGAAAAGGGAGAGTTTGGAAAATATGAATAGTCAAGGGACCATTTTGTAACTTTTAATAGTAAGGGACTCAACAAAGTAATGCAATATAGTCAAAAGACCATTTTGTAACTTTTAATAATCGGATACTCAACAAAGCAATAACTTATAATAGTGAAACCATTTATATATTTGACCCTTTTATATATATCAATTTTCAACACTAATAAACTTATTCAAAATAAATAATCAAACTCTAAATCCTTAAAATTATGATATGCTTATTTTTTTAAATTTCTTGAAGTTAATTTTTTTTCTTTTCCATCCTGTTTATGTCTTTTATATTATCACAGATTGTTAGCCCATGACCGAGATCACCACATCATAAGCAGTCCAAGATTACTTGATTGGGGTTTGGGTCTTTCAACATCCATCTAGACTGGCTCATTTAATGGGGGATGAACTAGGCACGATTATGGCAAGTAAATCACTTGGTTAATGCACAATCATCTTGATTCTTTCCATAATCCTTGTAATATTCTATCTAAGGCATGTTTTTAATAGCTTGATCTAATTTCCTTAGATAGAGAGATCCTATAGATTTGATTCCCTTGGATTAGGGGATTATAGAGATTTATTTGATCTGGTCAATCGATGTACTTAGATCTTAACCAGCCATTGAGGGGAGCCTCCACTATAAATAGAGGCCATTACTCCTCATTTGTACTCAATTCTTCATTTTGAGAAATCACAGAATATTATCTCAAAGTTCTCTTGTCTTGTTCTTGTGCTTCCTAGTTGTCTTTCAAAGTTCTTTGCTTCCGTTGGAATCTAAATATCTTTGCTTTGGTTGTTTTCAGGCTTACTTAGCTGTGATCATGGAGAAAGCTACTAAGTCCACATGTACGAGGCTTTCGAAGTTTCAAGGGCGTGACAAGTGGTATCCGAGCTAGTTTTGCAAGAGATGGCACTACAAAACCAAGACGAGGGTCCTTGTAGCCACCAAACTGATGGAGAATTATTCTATTACGGCAAAGCGTGGGAGCTCGAAGAATGTTGTTGCTTCATTTGAGCGAAGGGTTGGAAAGCTTGAAAACCTGTACAACGAAGTCAATGAGACTTAGGATTCGATTGAATTTCACCTAGTCAAGCTGGAGTCCATGGAGGAAGGACTCAGTCAGGAGACTCAAGGACTCCTTGACGATACAACCAAGAGGGTTGATGAGTGGACCAAGGGTCTTAAGAGCATGTTCTTGGACATGAAGGCGAAACTAATGTGAGAGGTGAATGAGCTCAAAAGCGAGTTGCTTCTTTAAAAAGTTGTAGTGTTGAATGGGGTGACTTGGGAGCCACTAGCACTTAGACCAAAGATCAATGTCCCTAAGTCAAAGGAGTTAAAGGGGACTCGAACCGCCCAAGATGTGGAGAATTTCATTTGGAGCATGGAGTAATTCTTCTGAGGCATGGGTATCGAGGATGATACGTCCAAGGTAAATGTTGCTTCAAATTACTTGATTGATGTCGCCCTCTTGTGGTGGCGACATAAGTGTTCCAAGGAAAAAATAAGCCAATTTCGATCGAGACATGGTGGGAGTTCGTAGTTGAACTCAAGGGGCAATTATATCTAAAGAATTCCCAACTCGAGGAACGAGCAAAGTTGAAACAATTGAAGCATGGTTGTTTCCTCTTGGAGTACGTCAAGAACTTTACTGAGATCAAGATATAGATTCCAGACTTAGGATAGGCGTAAGGTTATTTTTCTTTTATGGATTGACTACAACGTTGCGCCAACATGGAGATTCAGTGAAGGGGAGCCATTGCCCAATTTGAAGTGAAGATGACCGACTCCTTCAAACAAAATCCAAAACCCAAAGGTAATGGTGGGGGAGAAGGACAAGGGGGATCCAACAAGTCATCAAGGGCTAATGGGAAGCCGAGTGATCGACCCAAGAGGCTTTCCAATCCATGAGAAAAGAATTGAGCCTTATCTTGTTTCAATTGTAGGGGAAGACACACGAAGAAGGATTGTCCCTATCTCAAGAAAGTTACTACCATCAAGGAGAATGATTTGCAGGAGAAGAAAACCTTGAAGCCTGGCTCCATTTTGAGTTCCATAGAAGTCAAGAAGGGTCATACCAAGAAGGTGTTTACATTTGTGGACATCATTGTGGCGGGTCATAAGATGAGTGCACTAGTTGACACTGGTGCCTCCGAGTTGTTCCTACCCGAACAAGCTGCCAAGAGACTTGGCCTTCATATGGAGAAGGTAAGTGGCTTCATCAAGATCATTAATTCTAAGGAGGCTCCAATTGTAGGGGTTGCAAGAGGAGTTGAGCTCAACATTGGGGATTAGATTGATAAGAAAACTTTGAAGGCAACCCACTTGATGATTTTGACTACTTTGGGGCTTAGTTTTCTTAATCAGATTAATGAGTTCCTTGTTCCTTTTGCCAATTTCCTATGCATACTTGATCCGAGGCATTAATGTATTGTTCTGGTGAATCGAGAGGTTGGAGTTGGGGCCAATATCTTGTCTGTAATCTAATTTTCAAAAGGGGTGTGCAAGGAGAAACCCATCTTTGTAGTTACATTGGTGGGTGATGTGCCCACAATGATTGAGGAGGTCCCTAGAGTGGTAGGAAAATTATTGACGGAGTTTAAGAATGTGATGCCAAAGGAGTTATCGAAGTGTTTTTCATTGAAGAGAGAGGTGGACCACATGGTTGAGCTTGTGCCAAATGTAAAACCACCTGCTAAAACCCCTTTGGTATATCTTAATAACTCCGCTCGAGTTAGAGGAGCATTGTAGACAGTTGAAAGAACTCCTAGATGCTAGATATATCTAATCGTCCAAAGCACCATTTGCTGCACCAGTTTTATTCCAGAAGAAGCACGATGGCTCTCTTAGAATGTGCATCAATTATCGGGCTTTGAACAAGGTCATTGTGAAGAAAAAGTACCCGATCCCGTTGATGGTTGACTTGTTCGATCAACTTGGTAGTGCAAGATGGTTCACTAAGTTTTTATTTACAGTCTGAATATTACCAAGTCAGGATAGCCGAGGGTGATGAATCGAATACTACTTGTGTGACACATTACAGTTTGAATGAGTTTCTTGTAATGCCATTTGGCCTCACAAAACCCCCACTACCTTCTGCATATTGATGAACAAGGTACTATAACCATTTCTTGATCAGTTCATTGTAGTTTATCTTAACGACATTATGGTGTATAGTAAGACTCATAAGGAGCAAGTTGAACACTTGAGGAAGGTGTTCCAAGTCTTATGGGAGAACGAGTTCTATGTCAATAAGGAAAAGTGCTCATTTATATAGAAGGGGATCTTGTTCTTAGGCCATGTCATTGAAGGAGGTAAGCTATGGATAGATAGGGACAAGATTCAAGAAATTGATGAGTGGAAGCCTCCTACCAAGGTGACAGAGCTGAGAGCTTTCCTGAGATTAGCCAACTATTATCGAAGGTTTGTGAAGGGCTATTCCAATATCTCCACATCTTTGATCGAGTTGTTCAAGAAGGAAAAGGTGTGGGAATGGAATAAGGAGTGTCAAAAAGATTTCGAGAGGATCAAATAAGCCACAATGAGTGAACCAGTGTTGGTGTCACCATATTACACTAAGCCCTTTGAAGTTTACACCAATGCATCCGATGCTACCATTAGTGGGGTCCTTATGTAAGAAGGACATCTAATTACATATAAGAGCCGAAAACTCAATGAGATCAAGAAAAGGTACTTGATTCATGAGAAGGAGATGATCATAATGGTGCACTGCTTGTGCATTTGGCGACACCATTTTCTTAGTTCCAGGTTGTGGCTTTTACCGACAATATTGCAAATAGTTATTTTTTCACCCAAAAGAAGCTTTCTCTCAAGCAAGCTTGTTGGCAAGTGTTTATTGTCGAGTTCAATTTTTCCATGTAGTACATGCTAGGAAAGGTGAACTGAGTTGTAGAGGGCTTAAGCAGGAGGTATGCCATCGAGATTGTGGAAGGTCCTTTGTTCGATATGATCAATGAAGGGTTGCCCTATGACCCTGTGGAAAAAAATATAATAAGTGGAGCTAAAGAGGGACGAACTAGAGAGTTCTAGCTCAAGGATGAGTTTCTTTATATTAGAGGGCATCATATTTTTGTGCCTCTGAATGGAAAGCTACGCAATGAACTAATGAAGAAATGTCGTGATTCCAAGTAGACGGGACATCCGAGAGTTTATCGAACCATCACACTACTTGCAGAGAAGTATTATTGGACGCACATGGCTGAAGATGTACAAGCTTATGTGAAGAATCGTCTTATGTGCCAATATGACAAGATTGAGACCAAGAAACCAGCGGTATTATTTCAGCCTTTGCCCATTCTCGAGCGACCATGAGAGAGTGTTTCCGTGGATTTCATAGTTGGTTTGTCCAAGACTAACAGACTTTCAAGTACAATGGTTGTGGTTGACAAATTTTTGAAGTATGCGATATTCATTCTAGTGTCTAAGGTATGTCCAACCGAGGAGGTGACTCGACTTGTCCTTAAGCACATGTGAAGTATTGGGGAGTGCTGAAAACCATCATTAGTGATCGGGATACACGGTTCATTGGGAGATTTTGGATTGAGTTTTTCAAGTTGATGGGATCAAGCTTAAACTTTTCCACATATGTTTATCCACAAACCGACGAACAAACTTAGTAAGTGAATGCTCTATTGGAGATCTATCTGAGGCATTATGTTAGTGCCACACAGTGTGAGTAGCCAAAGTTGTTGGATGTGGTTCAATTTTCATACAACTTACAACGGAGCGAGGAGAAAAACCATAGTACATTCGAGATCGTGAGCGAGCAACAACCATTGACACCCAACACGGTTGTTCCCAAGTATGAAGGGTCGAATCCAACAACACACAAGTTTGCCAAATAATGGCAAGAGCATCATAACTTTTCCGAAGCTTATTTACACAAGGCGGGGAAGTGGACCAAGAAATCAACTGATTGAAAGCGTAGGGACGTGAACTTTGAAGTTGGTGATCTAGTCCTTGACAAGTTGGTTAATGTTTTGCATAGCCCAAATGTGCCAAAGGGATTATGTGAAGATATGAGGGCCCGTTCCGAGTTGTACAGTTGGTTGGCATAATGGCCTACATATTGGAGTTGTCTCCGACCATCCGGACTCATCCTATGCTCCACATTGGTCTACTCAAGCAGTACCATCAAGATGAGGAGTATCCCGGCCGAGGCAAGTCACACTAAGTGCTAGTCAGAGTGAAGGTCTCATATGACAAAGAGGTTGAAGAAATCCAGGCAATAAGAGTTATTCGATGACCAGGACATCGCCCAAGGTATGAGTAATTTGTTTTGTGGAAGAGACTTTCCGGGGGTGATGGGAGTTGGGAGTATGCCGAGGGACTTTGGTAATTCGAATCCATGATAGAATAATACCATTCTAGACGAGTGACGAGGACATCGCCAAAACTAGTAGGGGAGAATGTTACAGACCGCGAGCCCATGGCCAAGATCACCACACCACAAGCAGCCCAAGATTACATGATTGGGGTTTGGGCTTTTCCACATCCATCTAGAGATGCCCATTCCATAGAGATGAAGATCTTGGCATGATTATGGAAAGTAGATCACTTGATTAATGCACAATCATCTTGTTTCTTTCCATAATCCTTATAATCTTCTATCTAAGGCATGTTTTCAATATCTTGATCTAGTTTTCTTGGATAGTGAGATCATGTAGATTTGATTCCCTTGGATTAGGGGACTATAGAGATTGTATTCATTCTGGTTCATCGATGTACTTAGATCCTAGCCGTTCATTAAGGAGATCCTCCACTATAAATAGAGGCCTCTCCTGCTTATTTGTACTCACTTCTTCATTTTGAAAAATCACAGAGCATTCTCTAAAAGTTCTCTTGTCTTGTTCTTGTGTTTGCTAGTTTTCTTTCAAATTTCTTTACTTCCGTTGGAATCTAAGAATCTTTTCTTGGGTTGTTTTCAGGCTTACTTAGCTACGATCACAGAGAAATCGACTAAATTCGCACGTTCGAGATTTTCAAAGTTCCAAGGGTGTGACAATATCATTAAATTCATCACACTAACAAAGTTCTATAAGAGTAAGGAGTTTAAGCTAGTAAGAAGAATTTAATCGAAGCCAAAAAAGAATAGAAAATGAATTTGGTGGTGATTAGAACTTACAAAAAGAAAAGGACCACGAATTTAGTCATACAAAGATAGTTAACCCTCAATCTTCGCTAAAAAAATATACCATGTTTGTATCTCGTCGAATGATTTTTAAAGTTGACAAGCCAAGCTCGATTGAGCAATACCGCAATTTAATGCACAAAAGAGTATGGACTGTCATATGAAGCATTTATAAGTAAATTAAAGGCATATGAACTATCCGTTTATAGTTGGAGCTTCTTGAACTCATTAGTTTATGTAAGCTTCTAGCCTTCAAGTACTGTCCGAAGCTTAGCGAGGATAATAAAGGTCGATCCTAGTCGCTTATTAAACTCCATAAGAAAATTACCGTTGTGGTCCCGAAAAATACCCCAATTGAAGCTCTACCCATTATACTGACCGCACCATCATATAATTTTAGTTTACTCCATTAACAAAAGGTTTAATGCAAAAATAAGTATCCAAATAATATCTAAAGTTAACTTTAAATGCATAAAAAAATTTCTCTCAAAATAACTGTCTAACGTTTCTAACGTTATAACTTTATGTGCCTATATCGTATCGACCATTAAATTCAACTATTATTTGACATGATCTGGGTTTATAAATTTTTTAAAAAAATATTTTTAAAAAAATTTAAAAAATTAATTTTAAGAAAGACCAATTTTTTTAAATCTAAAAAAAAAACCCCAAATCTCGGTCACCATCTTTGAACAACCATCCACTTGTTGTCACTAATCCACTGACAGGTCATCACTCTTGTCATTGTCCCAAACCCACTTGTTGTCGTTGTTTAGTCTCTATATCTTCAAGCTTCATACTTGTCGCTTCTCTTGAGTGAAGTATCCTAGATTTACCTCTCTTTTTTTTACTAATTTTCTCAAATCAAGGATTTGCTACTGAAAAATAAACTTGGGAGAATTAGAAATGGTTGAAATCACCGAGTTTGAGAGTGTTTGGAGTTATGATTTATTGCATTGTAAAGCTTAAATTTTTTGGCTTTTTTTAAAAAAATAATTTAAAATTTTTTTTTGAAATTTTTTTTTTAAAAATTTATAAACGTGACACGTGTTATATAACGATTGAATTTAATGGTCGTTAAGGTGTAGGCAACTAAAGTTGTAACGTTGGAAATGTTAGACGCCTATTTTGAATGAAAAATTCTTTAAACATCTAAAGTTAGCTTTACATATAATTAAGGCACTTATTTTTACAATAAACCTTAAAAATAAACTTTAATCCTTTAAAGGTTAGATAGTAAAATCCATAAAAAAAATAATCTTTTAAGGGTTATAAAATTTTTTGGGTTTTCATTACAATTAGCCTTTCAGCTGAAACTAATACATGATGTTCACATGGAAGACGAAAGAATTCATGAGGAAAAAACTTGATTTAAAATTTTTGGTCTATGTGTACATATGACATAGCAAAAAGTAATTAAGGTAAAGTACACAAATGGTCCATTGATTTAGGGCATTGCTTTATTGAGTCTCATAACAATTAAAAGTTATAAAATGATCCTCCAACTATAGGATATTGTTTTGTTGAGTCCCCCAATTATTAAAAGTTACAAAATGGTTACTCGACTATTCATATGTTTCAAACTCGTCCCTTTCCATTAAAAATTTGACGATCGTCTGAGCTAGACATTAACATGTTGATTGGGATATGATAAAACCATATTTTAATGATGTCTACTGGCACCGTTGTTGCTATTAAGCACTTTCTCGATGACATAACATTTAAAGCACTAACTCAACGACATAATGTAAATGGAGAGTCGATCCATAAAATAAAACAGAAACGATTCTAGGATTAAATTTTATCATATCTCGGTCAACATGTTAACATACTACTTAGACAATCATCAAATTTTTAACAAAAAATGATGGATTTAGAACATATGAATAGTTCGATGACTATTTTAAGCTTAAATGTATCATTTCCCCCTAAACTATACCATTTGTACCGAGTTTTCTCTCAAAGTATTTTTGGGGACTTTTTACTCCTTAAAGTTTAAATCGTTACCTCATTTGCGTCAAACCCTTAACTCCGTTAAAAAATAAGCGGGTAAATTACAGATTTAATTACTTAACTATTTATGTTGTTCTGTTTGAGTTACCCAACTATTTTTTCTTCAAAATCATCACTAAACTTAAGTTTTTGTTACATTTTGGTCACCCAATTCGATTCAATTTATTTTTAAAATTTTTAATCGTTGAGAATTCATTTATATTATATTTTTTTACTCGACACATAAATTTAATTTACAATAATAATTAATATTATAAGATAAATAATAAACAACATATTAAATTGTATGTAATTAAAACTCTATTAAAATGAACATTAATTTTTTAATTAACATATCATAAATGAGAATTGCACAACGTATGACAAAACAC